TTTTACTAATTTTTGTTTAGATTTTTGCACTTCTTCACATTTGAAAGAAAATACCACGTAAAAATTTGTGCCTGAGAGAAAGGTTGATGGGACATTGGAATGCGATTTTCACAGGTAAAAAAAATATAATGCCATGCACCAGACTCAAAGATCAATTATAGCTATAGAAAAAAAAACACCTTAAACATTGACATGATGCACGATTAAACTGAATTTTTGTAATCATATTGACACTGAATTAGTCTGTATGTCTTAAATGAAATATGAAGATAACAAATAGTAATCAAGCTCAAAAGTTCATTAATACTAAATTTAAATGTAATTTTGGAGACAAAAACTCCATATGCAAGTGATAATAGTTTATTGCTACATATACACTGTTTCCGGAAAGTTTGTGATTGAAAAGTTGAAGTCATCACGTTTATCGTAAAGTTTTGTTGTTAGGTTATCATTAATGCCTTTTTCTAGTAAAATATCCAAATAAGAAACATACATGTTTTATTGTTGTGGAGTTTTCAAAACTTGTAATAGTAGTCTCTTACATACAGGCATAATCACTGTTAAGGGTGAATTAAAAAAAAATGACTACCAAACTGAATTTTTTTTGGGAAAAATTCAACTACTTATAACATATTTTTACTTACATCATCATATTGTACATGCATTCTAGTTTAAAATCCTGAAGTGGCAATAGAAAAGAGAATTGGATTAAAAAGTTTCAGAATTTTTATCAGTAAAATTTCTTTTGAAAAAAGGAAAATATCATAACACCTTAAAAGACTTTCTAAAATACATAATCACAAGAAATTATAGTTTTTATGCTTCAAAATGGTAAAAGGGGTATAAATGATTAAATCTAGACCTTGATTGAGTATCTTCTCTTGTATATGTGACAAAAAATTGGCTTTTTGATTGTTATTTTACATCATTTTTTTCAATTCTGGTTTGAAAAGTTTTAATATGAAAAAAATTATGAAGAATGAAATTCCCCAAAATTCACTTTTTTGACTGTTCAAGTCAATTCTTTAAATCTAAGCCAAAAAAGAATTTTTATATACGAGTTCTCTTACAAAAAATACTAAATTTTAAAGTGACCCTATGTTACATTTTGTGTTGCACTCCTGACATTTGATATGTATTTTATTTAACATTGTTTTAAAAATTAGAACACAATAAACCATTCTTGCTTTGTAAATCAATTTGTCATTTTGATATTTTTCATCGTTTACAGCAGTTTTTTTTCATATTTTGAGGACCTTAAAACATGATTGTTTGCAAAGTGTAATATATATGAATTGTATTTAAAAATATGTATAAAATGATGAAAACTATTCCCTGAATTGACTGTAAAATTTCTGTAATTTGTTGACAGACATAGTGTTTTGAACATCAAATAGTATCAAACATTTTTTTTCGACTTATTTTTTTACTAAAGATAGTTTAAAAGCTTTGGTAATTATAAAGCAGTTTTGTTGCACTCCTGACTGTAGTAAAATTTAAAATTAAAACCATAGAACACAAAAATTCATAAAGTGCTGGCAACATCAAGTGGTAATGAAATTGTGCAATATTTATAGTCCAATACTTCATAATTAAAACAGATGAAAGTATTTAAAATTCGCATTTTATCTGGAATTATTCCCTACTTATGCCAAAAAAAAAAACTAGCTTAAATGTATATATAGAAGATAAATGTTCTGTTGTTTCCATTGAAGTTGAGGAGGAATTACTTGAATTTTATGACAATTTTTTAGCGTGTTTATTTTTAACATTCATTAAAAAAATCACAAAAAGATAAAAACACCTCTGAATTGATAAAATTGAAAAAAGAAGGATTTTAATAATAAAACTGTCAATAATTTAGTATTAAATTATACAAAAATCATAATTAATTAATGAATACTTCTAAGTAGGGATGTCAATTTTACTCGGACAGCTTAGTCGAATAGTCGGAGGCTTTAGTCGAACGATAGTCGAGTACTCGTTGAAATTTAAATTAAATTTTCATGTCATACTTCCTAATTGTCTGTAACAGACTCTTAGCATGTACAATATTTAATTTACGCTATCACCATTATACAACAAATTATTGAATCGTTAACATTTACGTAGTAATAAATATATGTATCCAATGTATTTGATTTCAAATATGATATTTACTGCACATTTTATCTATATACAGAAAATCAAGCGCTCACACTTATCCTTTGTTTTCATGCTGCTAGTGCATGTACCCGTTGTTGATTTGTTACCTGAAGCCATTTGAATGTGTCTTGACAGTGATCCGTGATTGTTAAACAATTAAAGCGTAACTCTTATAAAAACAAAGAGAGCTTGCGATAAATTTTAATTACGAGATTTTTTGCAAACAATCAATACAATTTTGAAATGATAGATATTAATATCAGAGAGAGAGACACGCTCATAACTGTCCCCCAATTTGTTTGTATTTACAAATATGTAACAGCTGTTTAATTATTATTCATTAATTGATACTTGCATTATAGGAGATCATACAGAATTGCAGGTTAAAACTTTACAATTTGGATCTGACAGTTTTTAAAGTATGCCAATGCATGTTTGCCAAACAAAAAAATCCTTTGAACATTAACGAAGACCGGTTACTTAAAGCCTTTCCCTGAGTTTTATTCACGAAAGCACTGAGCAATGATACATTAATAAATGAAATGAGCATATCCAATTTTTTTTTACCTTGAATTTAAGATTTCTATTAAGTAGCAAATTTTTAACGAATAACCGACTAAAAAAATTTTAGTCGATAGTCGGTATGATCGAACGATAGTCGAGTACTCGAATATTCGTTGACATCCCTACTTCTAAGCATGAATAGAAGTGTTTTCGTCACACAATTTGAATCTTTAAAAAATGTGTTGCACTCCTGACCATAGAATTATAGATCTGAAGCACAGACAGATCCTGTAATTGATTAATCTATTTGGTAAAAATGTTCTTTGTGTCTTTATTTTCCAAAATAAAAATCAGAAAATCATATAATGATAATAGTTTTTTCATGCTTGGGAGCAAAACATCAAATGTTGCACTCCTGACATTATTGGGTATGCACATATACTTGACTCTCATTAATGCTGTTTGTGATTTGTATAACATTTTTAAGTTTTAAAATGTATATCAGTTATTGTTTTACACTTCAAAAATTCTTTTTTGTCTTAATTTTCTTTCAGAATTTTACAATTGATGTTTTTTTTGGCAACATACATTTTTTCTGTTGCACTCCTGACATGGTATAACATTTTTTTAAACATCAGCCATGACCACAACTTGATTAAAAAAGTTACTACAGTCCACATTTAAAGCTCAATACTTTGAATATTATCAGGAAAGTCTTTATTTTCAACATAAAGCATTATTATTTATTTCACAGATCTCCAAAAAATATTGAAATTTCAAAATGTCACAAAAGGTGTTGCACTCCTGGCAATTTTAGCATCATTTTTGGGCATAACTTTTTTGTTAACTGAGATATCAACAAGATATTTGGCAGGTATTTAGACACTATCTAAAGACATATGCTGAGACATAGAAATCTATTTTCATTGCCTGTATTTTTAGTGTGGGTTTATTAATATGCGTTTGGTCATATTTTTTTAATTCACCCTTAAACAGGTTGGGACCAATCGCCCAAATGGGATATAATATCCCAAATGAGATATATATTTACAGTGCAAAAAGTGAAAATTTTTATTTTAATTAAAGATATCATAAATCCGCATCAAAATACTTAAAAAGGAATAACTTTGGCAAGCAAGTTTTTCTGAAACCATACAGTTTGTTAGATTGATCCTCAAGAAGATTTGGAATTTCCGAGGGACCAAGCTCCTAAACAGTGGACATTGGTCCCAACCTGTTAAATACTTTACGGAGTGAATTACATTGTAATTCCTCTAAACAGAAGCTTATTGAATTTCCACTTATTTCTTTGATTGTACAATGTTTTAATTTACTGCTTTTTTTATATAAACAATCGACCTTGTAAACAATAAAAAAAAAACCCCAGCTCTATTTCATGATTAAGCTGGATTATTTTTTTTCTACATTTCATGGAAATCATTCTGACAAATACCCCCACAATATACGCACATATTTTTATTTGTGATTATTAAACTATACTTTTTTTTAAATGCCAATCGCGTGATGTATATATATTTTTTGTAATAGCTACAACCGTAAAAGTAAAGAAAGACATTTTATTGTTTATATTTATGTCTGTATAAATAAGAAGTGGTTTTTCACAATTTAAATAAAGGAGAAAATCTTCAGTGGATGTATAAATATAATGCAATATTTCCAGGTATCCAATGATAATGAATGGATGTAACCGTACCACTCTGGACACATTGTTACAAAAATACCATGAGGATACTTTTAAGCCTAGTTGTTCCAGTTATCGTTAAAAATTCATGTGTAAAATCTTAAACTGTGGATTCATGATAAGCTACATCTTGGATGCAGGATAGATTTATATCAAAAGCGTCACCTTAGATACAATATGGATTTATATTGAGCTACACCTTAGATGCAGCATGGATTCATATTAAGCGACACCTTAGATACAATATTTGAATAATCGCCGGCTATTTCCATGCCTTTATGTTAGTGTGATGTAATTTTAATTCGGTGATTTGTTAACTGTCCATGATTTTTTTAAAGTTCTACTTAATGTATGTTTCTTGATATTTCTCGTCTGTGAAATGGTTGAAATAGCCGCAAAGACATGCTTTTTAGATTTTTGCACTTTTTGTTGTTTTATTGTGCATGATGACTTATTGTTTGTCTCAAAAATTATTTATTGCTATTTTTTCAGATTATGGTAAATAATATAATTTTATATCTATAAATTTGTACAAAAATATATGTTAAAGGTTGTGTAGAAGTAGGACTTCATGTTTATGTATGAAGAATAAGATGTAACCTGTCTATTACCGAATTTCGTAAATAGCAATCCATAAATCATGTTCCTACACAGGGAAAAGTGGCTCACATGATTTTCATGCGTTTGCCTTTTCGCATGAAATTTATGCGAAAATCATACAAAAATCATGTGAAAAGTCCCACATGCGAATTTCATGCGAATGTTATCACACAAATTTCATGCGAAATTCATGCGATTTTCATGCGACTAAAATTTCGCATGATATTCATGCGAATTCCACTTTGTCTGTTTTTCGTGTGAAAATCGTGCGATATTCACAAGAATATTATGCAATATTAATACCATATGAGGAAAAGCAATGAACAAAAAAATTTAACATTTCAATGTTTATTTAGATGCATCTATCACAGTGAGTGGTAAAAATTGCCAGTCTCTGATGATCCTAGTATCATATTGTTTGGATGTTCCTTATGAATCCATTTACATTAATGATGGCTGTGTTTAAAGGCAGTTTTTCAGTCTTTTGTCCTGACAAGCATTTCCTACAAAGAAATTAAATCATAAAAATTTTTATTATATTACTACCCATACTGATATTCCAATTGTTTCAGTCAAAGGGGCTAACTCCTATAATTACTGAATAGGATCTGTCATTACATACAATAAATTCCATGTTATCACCTGAAAGGTCCATGTTTTGTCAACTTGTTTATGTTAAACTGCACTGGTATTACATGTTTTGAGCAAAACAGAAGACCCTGTGTTTTGTACATTAATAACTGCACAATAGAGGCATATGTCAGACATCAGAAAATTTTATTGACCGTGCAACTCTCTATATAAGTAGTGATTTCCCTAAGAACCAGCTACCGGCCAAATTAATCCCTTCAATTGATAAAAATGCCGCTTTGAAATAAAAAAAATAAAATTTAATTTAATTGTTGTAAGGTCCACAGAGATTTGTCATAAACATCAACCCAAAGCCAGATACAATTGATCTCTAATGCTTTACTTTGAAATAAAGGGAAAACACTGTATAAGGTTGTTATTGGAACCTATTGTCCAAATTAGATATAATAGTCAATTTTAGTTATGATATTCCAATTGGATTTATGAGTTTTACAGACATTATAATGCTGAAAAGATGGATTTTTTTAATCTGCATAAAATAATTAGAATATATCAAATGCAACAGTTTAATTATTACAAGGTATTTTTTTCATTCATTACCCTCACATTTGTGAGATTAATCCCCAAGAAAATTGGATCTTTTGTGGGACCTGCGTCCTAAAATATTTTGTGTGATCAGGTGATACACTGTAAAAGTCTCTGCACATGTGTCAGAACAATTTAATATACACAGTTAAAAATCACTTTTAATGTTAATTACTTACTCAAAATTTAGTAAAGCCTTCAAATAAATGTCGTTTAGCATAAAAAATGCATAACTTCATTATGACTTCGATGAAACGGAACCATTCGATTCACCTGGCCGTGTTACGTTGAACCTGAAACGAAAACGAGATCCGAATTTACTCTGAAAATTTTCGTTGCAAAATGAATAACAATAAGAATCTACATTTTAAACACAAAATATGACAAACAATTAACAGTACATACATATTCACCGTAGTTTCAAGGGATTAGGGCACATAAATCCCAAAGGAAACTCTGGAACAAGCCACAGGAGGGTACACTCGTTTTTTTTTTTCTGTAACAGGAAGTGCAAGTAGAACCTGGCTAAATCGGCCAGTCAATTTCGTATTCATCACAGAATCGTGAAATATCTAAATAACTATAATTTTTGTCCTTTAAATCTTTATTTTAAAAATTTATTTCCGAGTCGAAGTCGGAACTTTGATGACTACGGGGTATACACTTATTTAACGAAACCAAAAGTAGTTTTTTTATGGAATGCCGTACGTCACATATTACGTCATCATGCGGCTGAGAAAGCAGACAAGAAAGAGCTGAGTGAATTCAACTGCATATTTTCTGTAAGTTTGTCATATTTTTATCATCTCCTTTATCACCAGATGAATGTAATATAATTTATTGGCAATATACATGTATGCTGACAGCTTAATAAATAGATATGTTGAAATAAGATTGACCTGGCACAGGCACTCTTTGCCTGTTGCACCTGGGTCTGGTGTAAACCTCACCAAGCAATATACAGCACTGTAAAGTTATACATATATATTAGGATATACCTAATTTTTTTTTTTAATCAGACTGTAAGTCAATCATTTTGTTCTAAAAATAGATACTTAATGGAAGGGTGGCCTGGAAAAAAGTGGGGTGGGTATTTAATTTATCCTTCTCCTTATCATCCCTTCAACTCTACTATTTTGAATTTCCTTTTTCTTCCTCTGTCTGACTCCGACCTTCCCTATTTCTTCCTCTCCATACTCTCCTTTACACCTCACATTCACCCATCACCACCAATCAAAACATTTATTTGTAAATGTACATGTATAATCACAAAGAGTTTACTCTCTCTGTATATAGAACCATGATATTTATATAATTACTACAATGTACTAATGACATACACAGTGGGGGCACATCTGTTTAGATACATTGTAGTTCATGTTCACTAGTTTGCTAATAGTAAATGAGTTGTGTCCCTTTGTGGGGTCTTTTTTTTCTTCCTATGTGGTACAATCCACTATAATCACTTAACCAAAAGGTCAAGACTTAAAGAGTGAAAAGAATAATGTTTTCTTTGATCTTTTTGCCACCAGGGCAGGCATTGGGGTGTGCTGTGATAAATTCAGTGTTTTAAAAACACTAGGAGGTTAATTATAAATGGGGATAAACAGGGTATTATTTAATCTCGGACCTATTATTTGGCTCGGACTTTCAATAATTTTCAAATTTCAGTGTAGAAGATTTATTTAGAAGTTAGACAAACAAATATTAATGATTTTTTGTGTAGAACTATGTAGTTAGAAATAAGTCTTGAAATTAACACATACTTTTCTTTGTAGAAACTGGTCTTCCTAGGTATAAAGTTATTATGTGCATGTTTTAATTTAAATTTTGTGTTTTTTTATTTGCAGTAATGTTTTCTTGATTTATTTTGTTCTTGTTCAGTGCTGTTTTTGTGTTTTGGAAATGGGGTTAGAACTTTGAAGTTTGTGTATCGAGTTCTAAGCGGGTTAGTCGTGCGGCGCACGGACTAACACATTTGCGCATGCGTCGAAATGGTACAGGTCTATCCTAGGCCCTTGATTTCTTCATATAAACCGTTTTTCAAGCCAGGGAGTGTGAAAAGTCCGATCTATGAAAGAAATCCCTGGCGCAGTGTCACTAAAATCTGCCAATAATGTCACGATACCGATAAAAGGCCGAGATCACAGCATAGCATTACCTTGTGCACAAGTTCCTCACTAGACTAGCCCTGCGCTCCACATTTCACGTTTGGCCTCCGTAAAATAGTAAATATTACATTCCGTAACCATAAATTATGGTTCTTTAGTAAGCTCCGGTAAAATAAAACATTGTTTTCAGCTTAAACGTCACGTAAACACAACCTCCCTACCTATCCACTTTACAAGAAAACAGCAGAAGATTCTATGGAGGCGTCACTTCCGCTTCTGTGACGTTATGACATTCGGCAAATCTCGAATGATTCCGTTGCTTTCCGTTCTCAACACAAGACTAGTGTATATGCAATATTTATTTATTTTTGTCATTTGTCTCACTTCAGTTTATTCAATTATTATAATGAATGTGAAAATTCAGGATTGGGATAGTTAAATCTATACGCAATAATTCATCTGCATAGCATGCAGATATGTCATAGATCTACTAATCCACATGTATTACATTCCTTCATAATTTTGATAAAAGTTCTCATTAACATTAGTAAGCATATGTCACAAGGGGAAATGAAACAAGTGATTGTTCCGTATTAAAATCATGCTGCAAACTTTGAAGAATCATGATCCGCCTCTTTGCTTTCCTCCAGCTAAGAGGTGCATTTTTAGTGTGCAAATCTTGAGTTTTCAAGCCGACGTGACGTGTAATTGTTTGTTACGTCATAATGCCCACACTGAAGTCGATGCTCCTCTTCGCTTTGTGCAGTGTGAAGGAATAAAAAAAAAAAGGGGGGGGGGAGGCTCGCATAAATTATACTCGTCTTCTCAGAAGGTAAACATAAAGTTGACTATATCTGAAGTGCGATGATACTCATGTAAAGGTGCTGCACTTTATTGAAAGATGATCTTCCTTTCCTGTTTGAATAAAGCATACTGCAAAATATATTTTTTGATATGTATTTCAGCTTACACCATTCCCTATCTAACACAATATTCTGAATACTTTCTTTTCAAGAAATGTATCTTTATATGTAATATGTGTCTTCTTTGATGCACGTATTTTAATTCTAGGTAGATAGCTTTAACCCCCCACCCCCTTTATCTCGTAGATACAATTCTTTAAAGTCAAACAGAAGAGAGGGGAAAAAAAATGAAATTTGGACAGCAACATGCATTGACTTTAAAGAACACCCTTTCTATTTATGATTTATCATGGTAGTATCTTTGAAAAACATATTTTCTCAGAACACGCAATATTCATTGAAAAGAACTCAATGTGACGTTCTGGCTTTATACATGTTCATATGATATTTTATATATACACCGTATTGCCCTTTCGCTATGATATTAAAGAACGCGGTGAAGTTGGTTTTATCAACGTTAACATATATTTATAAGCATAATGATTTCGAAATTTTAACAGCTTACCGTATTTTGAAATGAAACTCGTAGACGAAATATCGTAAGATTAAAAAAAAAGAAAAAGAAAGCCTGATACTTGAAAAAATATTAAAGTTACCTTGAAAGTTGAAACATATGCTCTATAGCCTATGGTAAATCACCAACCTTCACAATATGTTTTCATTGTTATCAAAGGCAAACGAAACATGGATAACATAACCTCTTCATACCCCCCCCCCCCCCTTCGTACCAAATTATAACGAGCCAATATTTTCTCGAAAAATATTTTGGAAGTTAGGCTCGAATGGGGGGAGGGGGGTGGAGAGATGTGTGTTAGATACTACTAGGAAATGTTGCATAAGAGAACGTTCCTGTGCCCTTTACTACTGATACTGCAGATTTCTGATTGAATTTACCTACAAAACTTACTTTCGATTTCAAATACAGACATCATTTACTTTAGTAAATGATACATACTTGAAATTCAGGTTATTTTGTACAATTTGAATTGTCAGTCAGTGTGGTTTCATAAATACATGTAAATACATCCTCCTAGGGAGCAGAAGAGGAAAGGGGGATGGGGCAATGTAAACTTTTCCATAGAAGAGAAAACTACTTAACGGTTGCTCTCCACTGACCCCCCCCCCCCCCCTTTTGTTGGCTAATTATCTGTTGAATGTGCCTCAAAACCGGAATTGCTAGTGCCCTGAATGTGTTCATTTCCAACTAAAAACAGAGCTATTAAAATGATTTAAATACAATACTAGTATCAAGAAAACATTATAATACTGAGTGTAACAAACTTTTATGGTTTAAATTTACTTTTATCAAGTTCAAAAGAAGGCTCTCAATTTTCTGTTTAGTGACACACTGCAAAGTAAAAAATAATCCGATATATTTTGATATTGTCGTTAAATATCTACTGATAAATGCCCAACCACTATTCAAGTTGGTAAGGTCAATTTTGAATAATTTTCCATATTTTCTCTTCATTCACGCTTAATTGATTCATGCATATAAAACGCCTCATCTTTTCCAACTGTTCACTGCTGTAGCGGAGTGCGGATCCAAACACTTAAGGTTTTGTCAAAGGTCAACTTGTCCAAAAATTTATTTTTACAATAGCTCCAAAACTATGTGGTTTATAAAGTTAAAACTTTTATAGTTTATAAATAAATCATTGATTAACAGATAGAAAGTATCATTTGATAACAAATACTTTAAAAAAGTATTTATCGAGAAAAATTCTTTTTAAAAAATGCATGTATTTTTTTAAAATGCACCTTCTTAATTCTGTACTTCTAGTGAAAACCATCATTGCAGAAATAATATATATTTATCAATTAATGAAGGGCAAGTTGGACTTCGATGACCTCTGGAAAGTTGTTTTCCCTGTTTATTTTGTCCAAATGTTAAGATTTGAAACCGAAAGTACATTGCAAATGGCGGATTTTATAGGGGTCTTGTCTTTATACATGTCATGCTTTCAATAACAGCCTTTAAGAGACCATTCACGTCTAACTTGCCCTTCATTGATAAACATATATTATTTCTGCAATGATGGTTTTCACTAAAAGTACAGATTTAAGCAGGTGCATTTTTTTTTTAAATGTGCAAATTTTTTGCATTTTTTTCCTCTAAAAATATTTTTTTTAAATATTTGTTTTCAAGTGATACTTTCTATCTGTTAATCAATGATATATTTATAAACTGTAAAAGTTTTAACTTTATACCTCACATAGTTTTGGAGCTGTTGTAAAAATAAATTTTTAGACATCTTGACCCTTGACAAAACCTTAAAATTGGACATCTCCGCATTGGATCTTTTGTATGCACGAACCTCTATTTCTGTGTCCTGCTTACGATGTCGATTTCACTTTGGTATAAGATGCAGTCGCGCATATATAGTAGTATTCTATTTTCAGAATGTTCAGCACCAATGAACCATGCATCACACTGTTGACTGTCAATATCAAGATAC